ATATATACAATTTAATATTATTTTATTATTTTTATTATATATTAAACAAAATTTTTCAGACTGCGAAAACCTTCCTATTGATGTTTCATCTTCGAGTGGCAGCTCACTGTGTACCTCTGTATACTGCTTTCTTGAAACTGCATTTTGATTTAACTAAAACTCCAGTATTTGATAAAGAAATAATGCAGAACTTAGAAGATTGTATTTGTTTATTATATAAAGTATCTCCAAATGTAGGTTATGCAGTAATGAATGATGATCGAATGCGTTCGGTGATAACAAATAGTTTACAAGTAGTATATTTAGGTGATACTAAATATTTTCAGTGAATGAACTCTGTAAATTAATTGAATGGGCTATAATATTTAAAAAAAGAAAATATTATTTTTTGTAGTTTCATAGAATATAGTATGATAAAGTGTAATAAATAATTCTTAGATTTTAAGTTGTGATTTAATAAATTCAAAAGATGTATGATACTTTGTATTATAAAGCAGAGATTTTTGTTAGAACTTATCCTATTTGAAAATATCCTTATATTTTATATTTAAGATAAATTAAATCAAATAAATAAGTAAAAAATCACAGAATGAAATAAATAAGTAAAAAATCACAGACTAACAGTAAGTAAACTTTGTAATTTCTAATACTTTTGATGGTCATACATTCTCACTGATACCTGTTTAGATATATATATCATTAGACTGCGAATTTTTGTGCATATATATAAAAATTTAAAAAAACAATGTAAATTTCCTACTGAGATACGTTTCTAAAAATATGAATTTGTATAAATATCTACAGTCTAATAATCATTGCTATATATTAGTTGCAAAAATATAATTTTCTTTCCAATTATTTACATTTAATTCTGTACTTTCTATAATTTTTCAAAAAATAAGGATGACATGTAAGATAAAAATAAAAATAATCAATAAAGGAATTAATTGCTTGAAAAATAATATACAAACAAATTATTCAATTTTGTGAAAAATTATATGAATTATATAGAACAAACAAATAAATCATTCAACTTTGTACTGAAAGATAAGAATGTACATACATCTATAAAAAACAGAAAAAAAAAATTGATATACGCTGACTTAAATAGAGATAGAAATAATTACAAATGATCATTTCATATTGAGAATTTAAAAGAAAATGTCACTATTTCTTATTGTAATATTAATTCTGTTAATAGGATATCAAATTTACGGATTTATCACCCGTAACTCTACAACTTTAAACAAACCACCATGTAAGTTTCACTGAATTAAAATAATTCTGCATGTCGTACTTTTTAAATAAACTTTTTTTTCTGTATTATATCCCATAAATTATTCTAATTATATTTGCTTACTTTTTTAAATTGTAATTTAAATATTTTATCATAATAGGTATTCCGTGGTTACCAATAGTAGGATCTTATTGGTATTTATTATGGTATAATTATGAATTTCCTTTTAAAGCTATAACATATTATACGAATAAGTTGAAATCTAAAGTCCTGACATGTTATTTTGGTGGTTTTATGACTGTTATTGCAAGTGATTATAACAGTATTAAAGAAGTTCTGATAAATAATGATTTCAATGGAAGAGTATCCACCATAGATGTTATTTTAGCAAGAGCATTTGGACAATCATTGGGTATTTTCTCATGAAGAAAATTTGATATGTTTATGAAAAAAAAGTGTGGAAGTTGTGTTTTATATTGAAATTTTATATGAAATTTCAGGAATCTTTTTCACCGAAGGTTCATATTGGCAAGAGCAAAGAAGATTTATTCTTCGACATATGAGAGATTTTGGATTTGGTAGAAGACATGAAAAAGTTGAAGCAGACATGATGGAAGAAATTGCAATCCTTATCGATATGTTAAAAGAAGGTCCCATTAACGATACGGAAAAGGTATTTCAAAAGTTTCAATGAAAATTATTTCGAAATTAAGTATTACTGATTGTGAGCGACATTTTTATGCAATTATTAGTTATTCTTAAAAAATGGTTCTGTGCGGTTTCCGGATGTTCTATACCCATATTCTGCAAATGCTATATGGAATATAATGTTCGGCAAAAGATTCGATCGTTCAGAATATTATAAACTGAAATATTTTTGTGAATCTGCTATGATGTTTCAAAGAGCAGCTGACACTACTGGTGGAGCAATTTTTCAATTCTGGTTTTTAAAATATTTCGGAAATATGTTTGGATACAAAAATATGATGATAGGAAATTATCGTATGGTAGATTTCATTAAGGTATATTTAAATTTTCCATTTTTATTTTGAAATTGTATCGCTTCAATGTACTTCACAATTGTAAAATGTCATGATTACTGTAGGAACATTTAGAGAAAAGGAAACATTTAAACAATGATAATGATGATAATGGCTTAGTAGATCGATATTTAAAAGTTTTGAAAGGAGATATTAAGAAAAAATCTTTCTCCGAGAAACAACTTATTATGAGCCTTGTGGATTTTATGTTCCCAGCTTTATCTGCACTACCGAGTGCTGTTGTACACGCAATTAAGCTTGTAATGCATCATCCAAAAGTAATGAAAAATGTACAAGAGGAAATAGATAGAGTAATTGGAACCGGAAGATTAGTTACGTGGGAAGATAGGAAAAGGTATAATGTATATGAAATATTAATATTAAATGAAACGTATTTTATTAGAAAACCAAAAATGTTTTAGTTTGCCGTATATCGAAGCAACAATACGTGAATCACTCAGATATGTAACTTTGACACCATTCAGTGTATTTCATAAAACAACAAAGAAAACTACTCTTTCTGGTTTTGATCTTGCCAAGGATACAGTAGTTGTCACCAATTTAGCAGGATTAAATAGAGATGTCGATTTATGGGGTGATCC